CCTCAGAATGGTGGGGAACATGGTAGATTTCATGATCATGGCCACACTGTCTCATTTCTCTGAATGTGTAGTGATTGATGTGAAAAGGCCCAGACCTCTTTGAATAATATTTTCCCTAGGCAAATGGACTTGAGATGTAGAAAAAAAGATCACTGAACAGGCTATAGAAATCAAGTCAACAACCAATGTTCTTCTATGTTTTCTGTATCAAACTCCTACCTTGAGTTTTGGCCTTACTTCATTGATGATGGACTGTAACTTGCAAGCCAAATAAAGCCTTCCCTCCTCAACTTAGATTTAATTACTGCTTTCTTATAAGTCAAACTAAGAAATATATAGTAAGAAATTCACAAAGAATTAGTAAAAGTATTATATAGTCTTCAACATTACTTAATTTAATTTGTTCTTACATCTGCATATCTTGATTTCCCTGTGAAATTTGTGTATTAAAATTTATAGTTAAAGTACCCAACTAAACCTTATGTTCTGTATGTATTTTCTGGTCACCACACTTAACATTTTCTCATGTTTATGACATGCATGCTGATTAGTCTCAGTCCCAACTTTGTTTTCACCCATTCCTACTCCCGATTATAGTGGAAAGCTTTGAGATTTTTTTTTTTTTGTTCAATTTCATATAAAAGCAACTGTAGAATTTTATGTATAGCCTTTATTTTATTGAGATATGTTCTTTCTATGCTAAGTTCCATTTATTGGTTATTGGTTATTGATTAGTCTTTATGTGGCTAGATAGTATCCTAAAGTAAAAAATTGCTATTCTTGTTTTCTATCTATATATTTTATAACATAATACTCAATATCTAAGTGATAAAAGTAATATCTGTAATATTCCTTTAACCTAGAGGCAGGAGGGAGGCCCTAGTCCCTACTCAAAATGACTTGACAGATTTTATTGGCTCCTCCTGAAAGGCACCACCCTCCCTGTGGAGTGTAGGGGGGATGGGATGAGAGGGTAGTCAGGGGGCATGGGAAGGAGGGAGAGAGGAAGGGAGGGAGGAAAGGAGAGGGAGCTGGGATTGATACGTAAATAAGAAAAATAAATTAATTAAATAAAAATAATATTTGTACAAGGAATAAAAGATAATGGGAATTCTAATATTTGGACATATGTCATACTTTTAATGCTTGTCTGTACATTTTATTAGTAGTAGATTAATTTTACTGATTTTTTTTCTGAGGAGACATTTTTCTTTAATGTGTTAGTATCTCTCACAGGTCTTTTATTATTCTCAATTCTAACTGCATTTTCTTCCATGGATTTCTATAATTACTGTGGTAGCTGCCATTTTCAAAGTGCTAAGCTACTCTCCAGGTACTAGTTCACAATATCGTATTTCAATGTGAGAGGACTCTGTGATATCAAGGCCATATTATCCATACATTATAACGGAAGCCCCTACAATTACTTACTGACACAGAAGAAACTTGAAATCAAATCCCTTTGGGTTCCAAAGCAAAACATTTACACACCTCCTAATAGTTCACAATAATTATGTTGATATGAATAAACTTTACTGTAGCCACATTTTATAATGTAAGGAATTTGTTAGGGACCACAACAAGCAGTATGCTTCCCTTGTTAGGAATTATGTTTTGTGTACCCCAAGGAATTGTTTGAAATCTGTAATATTTTCAAAATTTAGTTCATTTATTAGCCAAAGTACAACTAGACTTTCAGCTGAAGATATATCTAATACTCATCAAGACACATTCTCCTCAATACAAAGTATTGTGTTGACCTTTGAACCTAGACACCTGCAGATGTTATACTCTGTGTGTACAAATGTGAGTGGTTACCTTTTAGAACTATTAAATCTCCAGAAAAATCTGTAATTCTGAATTCCATGACAAATAATTCACTACAGGTGTATGTCAGAATATGCTGACAATGCTAAAGGCAACTTCACATACATACAAGTTTTCTTGGTTCAGTATCATGGCCAGCTTACAATTATGGAAACATGTGGTACATATTTTTTAAAACTTCTTTCTCCAGTTTCTGGTGAGAGTTCACCTTAAGTTCACCTAAGTTGGAACTGACGTTATAAACTCTCCCCTATAAAATAACATTTCTAGTAGTATTTTCTCATCATAGAAATAAGGGCCAAAATAAAACCTGTAATATGACTTGAAATCTGAAGTCACATTCCTCCATCACTCTCATTATTATCATTGTTGTTGCTGTTGTTGTTATTGTTCAAGATTATTTGGGCTATAATAGGTCTTTGTGAGTCCATGTGAAAATTAAGGTCATGTTTTTCAATTTCTGTGAATAATTGTAATGGGGTTTGAAAGGGAATTACATTGAATCTGCAGATTGGTTTTGATAGAATAAACATTTTCACATATGAATCCGACCAATCCATGATCATGGGAAGGTATTCCATGTTTTGGTATTTTCCGTAGTTTTCTTCTTCTTTGTCTTAATTTCCATTGTACAAGTCTTTCTTTTCCCAAGACTCCTTTTAAAAATCCATTTGTGGTATTATTTGTGGTAGTCTGAATCAGAATAGTCTCCAAAGGTTCATATATTTGAATATTTAGTCCCCAGATGGTGAGGCTGTTTGGAAGGATTAGGAAGTATAGGCTTGTTGGAAAAAGTATGTAACTAGGGGTAGGCTTTGAGACTCAAAAGTCCATGCTATTCCCAGTTAACTTTCTATTTCTGATGGCTGTCATTATATGAAAATGTGAACTCTCAGCTACTCTTCCAGTGCCATTCCTATCCCTGCTGTTATGATAAGTCATGAACTCATCCTCTGAAATTGTAAGCCCCCAGTAAACTCTCCTATAAGTTGCTTTGGTTAAAAGGTCTCCAGAGCAATAGAAAACTAAATAAGCCATTATTGATTCCTTGATTTTTTTTCTTGATATATTGTTAGTATATTAAAGGCTATAGAATTATGTACATTAATTTTGCATCTTGTTCCTTTCTTGAGTAGGTTTATAAGCTATAGAAGGTTTATGGTATAGTGTTAGGGATATTTAATATAGAGAATCATGTTATCTGATAATAAGAATATTTTGACTTCTTGCTTTTTTGTTTATAGCTCCTTTGTAGAGTTCACTTTTCATATAAATGGACACACTGAAAATTCTTGCATTTTTTTATTTTTTGTAATGATTTGAGTTTTTCTCTTTTTAATTTTCATTTAGCTGATAACACTTAGCAAGATTAAAATCATTAAGGCAATAAGTAGTCATGTTCAAGTGGTGAGTTCACTTCCAATTCCTCATTATAGCAAAAAATAAGGAACCTCTTATATATTCCTCAAAAAAAATCTTTTGATAATGTACAAATAAAAATATGAGGACTCTTGGGACATTGAAGTGTCTTTGAGGTATTATAACAGTGGTTATAATGATGAGCACATGCCCCTATAAATTTGTCTGAACTCAAATAATGTATACCACCACCAGTGACCCATAATATAAAATGTGGACTGAAAATTAACATGTATTAAGTAGATCCATGTAGCAAGCATACCACTCTGACAGATGTTGATAATGAGAGAGGGTATACATATAGTGAAGGGTAGGGAGAATTATGGGAAATTAATATCCATTCTGCTAAAGATGTTGTGAACTTAATATTATTCAGAAACAAGAGATTGTTAAAAATTCTTTTCTTGATAAAAGAAATACATAGATGTATGTTTTTATAAAATGTAGTGATGATAGCATAATCTCTTAGTTCAAGTTACATTACTTTAAAATAAATTGGGGACTAGAGATATGGATCATAATTTAAGAACATTTACTGATCTAAAAAGAACCCAGATTCTCTTCTGATCACCCCTCTCAGATATCTCATAACTCCTTCAGTTTCAGGAGATCCAGTATACATTTCTAACTTTGAAGGTACCTATACACATGTGGAGCACATTCATATATTCAAAGCACATACACATACACATAAAGCAAAATAAATAAGATAAAATATTTGAGATATGAAGATCTAATATTTACATTAAAACCCTATTAATAAATAAAAGATTATTCATCTGTCTCCTAACACAATCCCACCATATGACAGTTTCGTGAACATAAAATTTTGTGTTTTCACTTAGTAAATATTCTCTATAACTGAGGTTTGACTCAAGAGAATGCTGTCTTTAGGTCATGAGGTCATGTGTAATAAACTTGAGCCCTTGGACTAAAACTGGAAATTCATTTGTAATTGAATGCACTAGAGCAATGAAGATGAAGAGTGGATTTTGTGGTGGTAAATGTTTGGTTTCAAAAAAAAATAATGGCTTCTTCAGAGAGTTTCACTCTGTAACCCAGGCTGTGCGGAATTTACTGTCTAGATAAGGCCAGCTTTGAACTTGCCTATGTTTCCCAAGTGGTAGAATTACAAGCATGAACTACTATATCTGGCAGTTCTTATTTTACTGGTATATGTCAGTCCATGCTGAAGGAGCACAGTCTATAACCAAAGATGTACCTCTAATTCTAAAAGATGACTACACGTCACACTACAGTTACTATATGTTTGTCTACATCAAATTCACAACATTTATTGATATCATTTAAAATTAAATCTACATGTAATTCAAAGAAACAAGAACATTTAGTACTCTGGAATAGTTTAATAAATATTTTATTATCTATCAATGGATTAATACTCATCTAACAATTAACTATGGCAAGTCTTGTTCTGTTTAACTGACTAACCTTCCATTAGACAATGAATATTAGAGAGCTGTATAATCAGCTAACATTATATTCCCAAAGCACCAGTTCAGTGGATGAATTCTAAAATCCTCATAGGCCCATCCACTATGAGATTGCATTTCTATTTTCCAGAATTCCAGACATACTGACAACAAATGTAGAGATCTGACCCTTGTTCTTAATAACATCTGGCTGACAGCTCCCTTGTATTGAGGGTGAGCATAGGGTGCAGAGTTCTTAATGGCTGTGTCTTGATTCAGAAACCTTACCTAAATGTTCTGCTATTTTATTACTGTCAAGAGATGCAGGGATCAATGTTTTATGTTTTTCTCTATACCCAGGTGCTTCATGTAAGTAACCTCCATCTTATGTACATTTTTCAAATTTTTAGAAATTCAATAATCTATGTCCTAGTGTTTAAAATTTTTTCTCATATGACTTTAAATTCTCTTTTGTGCCAAAGAATCTTTAATAGTGAATGACACTTATAATTCAAATGAATGGCATGAATATGCTTTCAATATGTTTTTCTTTTAAGCTTCTAAAAAGAGGTAATCAGCTCCTAAGAAAATGCATATTTTAATTTGGTTCTAAAATCTCAACTTCTTATTTGGATTATGAATGCTAACACAGTGGAAGCTACTGAATCACATACATTCAACCAAATTAGCTTTTGGTATTTAACATGCAAATAAAATACGATGTCTAATAAATATCAGTTTGGTATAGTATAGTAGTTTAAACTTGTAGAATACATTTTTGTATGCATTCCATTTACAAAGAAAATTTTGTTGAGATGTTTCATTAAATTAATTCAATCTCTGATGTGTTGACTTTTCCCACCAGGTCCAAGGAACCATCTTCCCAGCTCCAAACTTCAACCCTGTGATGGATGCACAAATGCTAGGGGGAGCACTCCAAGGATTCGGTAAGCCCGGGGAATTCGTGCACTGGTTATTGTATTATCCTTCTTTACCTTGTGGTAGCACCATAACAAGAGTGTAAAAGGGAGACACAAGGACGTAGAAGTGAAGAAAAATAATAGAAGACCATGATGCTGTAGAGAAATTGCAGTTTGTGCCCTGAAATGAATTCCTTGTGCTCTCAAATACCAGTCTGTGGACTCTTGGGTAAAAATCCAAATCAGTAAACATAATCAGAATCAATGCATCCTCATGAGCTCTGCACTTGTTTTCTTCTTAGCCTATTTCTGTTGCTAGTTACTTTTGCAGCGAAATCTAGCATCCTGCTCTCCCAGATGACTCTGCTTGTTCACACCTCATAAATTGCTCCAATATACTTCTTGCCTGGGATGCTTTCTTTCTCTGCTCTGTCTTTAACCTAAATTCTCCAAATGAACATCATCTCTGCATCTTTCTCTGAGCCCCCAGGCTCTACCAACTGTGCTATCCTGGGCATCTTTCTTCCTAGCCACTTCCTCCTTGACAATCATTTGTCTTTTGCCAGTCCATTGCACCTTGAGACTGGTGTGAGTTCCTAGCATGTGGTATTTGGCTTAAATGGATGCACATCAGATAAGATCAGGGCTTAGAAGAGGAATTTTCAAAAAAGGGGAGGAGGAAAATAGCTTGTTCTCAATTCTTTAATCTTTAAGATTTGATGTAAAACTGTTAAATATTCATGTCTTTTCCTTGAACAAAGCCCATTTCTGAAAGACTTTTAAATAATCAGGAAGATAAACACACACAATATAAGAGAAATAAAGAAATATATTCAACCTGTGTATAAGAGAGAAAGCTCTTCACTTCATAACATGGTTACTTACTTTACAGGATCTCTCTCTGTCTCTCTCTCTCCCCTTCTCTCTGTCTCTCTGTGTCACTATCTCTGTCTCACTTTCTCTGCATATGTCTCTTTCTCTCTATGTTTGTTTTTTTTCTCTTTCCTTTATATGAATGCACACTACACACCCACACACCTTTGTGTTTCAATCATGAATAGCATATGACACATAGGAAAATAATGGAGTCACTAGAAATTGTCACTAGAAAACCACTGAGACAAAATAGGTTTTCTTCAGGATTCTGACAATGATTTTTTTCTTTAAAACTAGACAAATGATCAATTTGGTCATAGACAGAAAAAAAAATAATGAATAACTAAATTCTTTTCTCCAGTTTCAACTTTCCTGTCATTGCCATCTGAGTGAAAACATGGATTCATTTTGCCTGTCATGATGTTTTGCTGTGTAGTTTATGCTGACATATTTCAGAGTGTTTAGAGTTTGGTGGCACAGTATCTGAGGAAACATTCTATAGCAAAAATACAGTTTTACTTATCAAGGGTCTTCAATTTTGATTATCAAGAACAAAAAGAAAAAATAAATACCAATGTATTTCCCAGAGAGCCTTAATTATATAACTCTGAAAATAAACAAAAATGGACTGTAAAATATATGGAAAAAAGTAATTTTAGCAAAAATTGTAGAAAGATGCTTTAAAACTTATTTATTCAACCTGAAAGAGAACATTTCCTAGGCACGCGTCTCCTAATAATACCATCAAATTCTCAACCACTGTAAGTAGCTGCTTACCTACTCATGCTCAGTAAAGCTGTTTTTGTTGCTGTCATTGTTGTTTGTTGGTTTCTTTGTTTTCTATTTTTTGTATTTATAATCTGTAAGAATGTATGTTTTCCAAATATCTATGTGACACTGGAAAACTGAAACCATTCTTAACTAATATCACTAAATCTTAGCAAAGGATACACAAGTCAACAGTAATCTGTTTTGAAATACACTCAGCTAAATAAAGGATATTTGTCACCATACTAATAATCACAAGACTTTGCAGAGGTCCTTTCTCAAACTCAATGTTTCATTTGATTCCTATTTTCATTAGTAGTTTTTTCTTGAACATTTGTCTTGTTACATTGAAATATTTACCTAATTATTATTTTATCAATAAATCTTGAGAGTCATATATTGGTAAATAGCTGATTTATCAGAGAAATGACAGAGTGACCAGTAACCTCCTATCTCTCCTTCCTCAATCCAAAAGGTCCAAGAATCTTCTAAGCCCATTACAATTTTTTTAGGTGTATCTCTATATGTCTTGGTTATTCAAAATTTCTATGGCTAATTTTAGTTAGCTAGTAGTTAGCTCCATCCTCTGATTCAAAGTAAACTTTATTGTCAGTCTGAGGAGTGTCAAAGTGCACTCAAAGTATCCCACAACATGGTAGTTTGTCAAATGTCTTTTTTACATCTTTCCTTATAGTCATATGAATTTGCTTCTTTAAACTGTCAATGACATAGGTTACACTGATGGTTTAATGTTAGACCTACATATAATTCTTCATACATAATGTTGTACTCAAATTTCTAGATTTTTTTTGGAGGGGGGGTTGCATTTTTGTTCATGAAAGATTTTGGTCAGTAGTTTATAGGTAATGTTTATCTCTTGTTGGAATGTTAGAGTAATACTGGTTGGCATCAGAACATTTCAGAACTTTTCAGGTATGTGGAAGAGATTGTAGACAACTTACATATCTTCTTTGAAAAAATTGTGAGATTAATTTTTAAAACATATATTAATACTTTTATTCTGCCAAGCTATTAATTATTGATTCAATTTCATATATATATGTATATATATATATATGAATGTATATATGTATATATATCCATTGAGATTGTCAATTTTCCTTGTATAAGTTTGAATACATAATATTTTTGAAGGAATGGATCCATTTATCTAAATAATTAAAACTTATAGCATAGAGTTATTCATAATGTCCCTTTATTATCCTCTTCATAAAGTCAATGAGTAATGGGCTCTCTTTCAGTTCTTTATCAGTATTTTGTTTCTGTATTTTAATTAACATACTTCAATAAAATTTTTGAGATCCATTTAAAATTATTATGCAATATCTCATAAAGAATAAGTGAACAAAACCATATAAAAATTAATAAACACAAAGTAAATGAGAGAGATAGTTTGTGTGTAGTCTCAACAGAGTAAAAACCCAAGATGAGTATAGTAATTCAATAAATGTTATGATTATAAGAATAACACAGTGGAAATCATTGAAAAAAATTTCTATTTACTATTCTTAAATATCTTTATAGTCTCCTTTCTCTTTTTAAATCATGTGTCTTTCTATTCTCTGATGAAAAAAAGACAGGTAGATGATAGATAGATAGGTAGATAGATAGATAGATAGATAGATAGATAGATAGACCACAGATATATAGATGATAGATGATAAATAGGTAATAATATATAAATGGATGATAAATACCAGATTGTTAGATGATAAAGATATAGATAGATGACAAATAAATATCTATATACATGATAGATAGATAGATAGATAGATAGATAGATAGATAGATAGCAAAGGAGGTATTTATACTTATGAGTTTTCTAAGATAAAAAATATACCTTAAGAAAAAGGAAGTCATAAGACTTTAGATAGAAATTAATATGCATTAGCCAAGCTGATACTAAAGTTAGAGTTACCTTGGTCACTCTTCTCGGAAATACACACAATGAAAAGCAATTGTGATGTATGATTGCTGTGAATGTTGTGATATAATGTGATGTGATAATGTAATACTGTGATATGAGTAAGTAGAGGATACACAGCACAGAAAGACAGCCTAGGTAATGGATGAAGGACTATATTCCTTCCACAGTTTGAGAGAATCACATAACCCAACTTAAGTATGCAGATACCCTGTGATTCCATTATTTCCTTCTGAGCTATTCCCTTTGTTTTGTGCTTCCTAAAAAAGCAGCCCTTTTTTCAGGACACATGTTCATTATATGAGCCATGTATATAACTGTGCCATTGGAAAGATGTGGTATTCTGTTATTACTCATGAGCTTGAAAGACAAGGAGGCTCTTTTTCAGAAGGGTAAACCAGATGGCTAAAGAAAAGCTATAATTTCCTTAACCTTCCTATGTTTCTTATGGTATTTTAGATGGAAGGAATAGCAGAAGGAGAGTGAGGGAAAGGAGCATCTAGGATTCATCCATCATTGCTAGTGATATCCAATTGTATTTAAAAGTACACTACTAACAGGGATAACACCTGCCTATTGGTTAGTTATGATTAGTCCATAACAGACACAGTCTTCCTAGCTACTGAGTAAGAACTTCCTTGATTTTCTGTTATGATTCCTTCCTAGACTGCAACAAAGACATGCTGATCGACATCCTAACAAAACGCAGCAATGCACAGCGGCAGATGATAGCTGGGGCCTACCAGAGCATGTATGGCAGGGTAAGACTTCACCTTGACCTGCATCTAGGGCAAGTACCTGAGTATCAACCCCCTTCTCAGAGAAATGGACCTATTATTTTCCTCACTGAGCACAAACATTTTAGAACCATGCTAGTTAAAAACAGTCTGTCTTTTTCTTACATATTTCAAGGAATAAGAGCATGTCATGAAACATATATATGTATGAGGCATATTCACATTCATGGTGTCTACCTGTGCTTTTCCAATTCATGCAGCTTCCCCAAATGAAAGGCTAGGTAACCTTTTATGCCACTTGGTCCAATTAGGCTATACGTGTTGAGCTGGGAACACCTATATAGAGCTTTAGGGGAGGCATTAAAAGAACTAATGATCACTGGGGTCAAAAAATAATATATTTTCAACCAGTTCTCTATAGGTCCTCACCCAGCTCTGAGCCAATATCAATTTTCTTCTACCTTTTCTTCTCCACAGCATGAAGTGATGGAGACCATTAAAAAACGAAAGGCAGTTTAAAAATAGTTTAAGGCAATAAAACTATCCATGTTTTAAAGTAATCACATTCTAATTTCAAAGCAAGTACCATTAAGGAGACTTTGCTTTTGTTATGCATTTAAACCACAGATTCAGAACAAAAACTCTTCAGGCCAAAAGGGCCTGGAATAGCAATTACTTTGTCAACTGAACATTATCGATGAAACACTCTCATAAAACTTTCTCTGCAGAGTTTGTCCATTAAATTGACTCTGTCTCTAAAGCTCAGCCTTTAAACAACCATGACACATGTAACATAGGTAGCCCTGAGTTTTAGATGGTTAATGACACAAAAATCTCTTCAAGTAGAGAGATGAGTTGAATTAAGCCAAAAGAGAAGACAGTATACAGAAAATTGTTACCTCAGCTTATACTCCCAGAACATTTTTACAAAGTAAATGTAAACATAATCAAAATATTATGGTTATTAATCTAATAAGATCTAAATTGCACAGACCTATAGGTGATGCTACTTCCTAAAAACATTTTTTTAATCCAAAGGTGCACCTACATCTTAGCTTTTCATATAACAAGTTAATTTAAGCAAAATCCTTCTGTTTATCAAACACTCCAAAATCATACAAATAAGGTTAAAATAAGAGAAGATTTCCTTAAAAAATTAACTTGCACTGGAGTGAAATCATTTTCCCTAAGGTCTTAGGGTTGTTTATGCTGTGCTTTTGCTGGACAATTGGCTTGTCATGGATCATCACTGAATTACAGAAAGTAGGACAACACAGAACCAGCTTGTCCATCGCTAAAGAAATACCATTGTCATTTGGTTAGTGGTCAAGCCCTGCCATTTACTACCCCTTCACATTCTTCTCTTTCCCTCCATTATAGATTCTTGACTTAGATCAACATGGTTTTGGCCCAGATGAATCCTAATTGGTTCCTTCTCTCAAACCTCTAGCCTCTCCCTCACCTCCCTTCTTTGCCTAGACCACTATTCAACCTAAATCTGAAATGAAGTAAAACGTAAGATTTCTCTAACATTTATTCTACTACTCCATTATAAATATCTATGTGTGTGTGGCAAAATATCTACATGTTAATGGCAAAATATCAATGTGTGCATGGCACAAACCTGAATCCTTTCTAATGGTATGGGAAGCATTTATTTCATTTTCATTTCACATCTTCATTATTCTATCCCTCCTTCTTTCTTCCCCTCACTCTTCTTTTCTTAATCTTGGTCTGTCTTACACACAATTGATATATCCTTCAGGAATTATCTGTAGTTTCCCACAACACTCCTGCCTCCTTCACCATCTTTTGTCTGTCATAATATTTCAACTGTCTTCAGGAGCTTCAGTTTTCACTGCATTGGCTGCATCCATAACTATACCCATGAAACTTCCAGACACTGGACACCCACTCCACAAGTCCAGTAGAACTTAACCATGAGCTTGCTGGTGTCTGTTCCTCATTACCAGTGTGCTAAATTAGAATAACTTTTATTCTGCCATAGATTCATATGTTTCTTAATATCACAACTGTTTGATTGATGTCTATTGGATGACTGTGACTTAATAGCCATTTGAAGTAAGATGCAATCCAATCTTGGGTACTCCTAAAAATCTGTCCAGCTTGCTATGTGCTCTCTGCTGTGAACTAAGTGCTTCCTGCATGAGTCCTGGGGTTTTTCTGTATATAATGCCAGGATACTGGCTATTGATTTATGTTTATGTCTTACCAAGTTGACTGTAACATCTAAAAAAAGAAGAAGAATAGGGACTGGCTTTTGTGTACCTTTCCTCTAGAACTCAGTCCAAGGTCTAACATGAAGGAAGTTCTTCATTTAGAATACAAGCCAGCCTAGTGAATTATGTTTGGCATAAATTGAGTATAAATAATGAGATTACACACTGGTCTTTCCCACATAGCAAGTGATGTGCTGTTGACAATCCAACAGAACCAAGAGATGGGGAGAAGGTTAACCATTCGTGACACCTTGACAACCAGACAATGGTTCCTCAAGGTGTTCAACTGGAGCATTAAAGAAATTCATGTTTCCAGTTTTCAGCTGTAATAGAAATAGTCATGTCTGAAATATGTTGATTTCTATCAATTATTTAATCACAGTATTGGCCAAAACCCAATCACATGGCTTCCATGAATTTGTGCCTTTTGAAGCTTCTCTTTAATGCCCTTTGTTCCCAACTAAGGATGTACTAGAGTTGTCAAAGATAGTGAATACCCCACATTCTTCAAAGTTTTGGTCAGTTTCAGCTACTCCAGGTAGTTTACATATTTGACAGTGTCACCCATCCCAAAGCACAAACTAACTCCTTTTCCTGTTCTTGTGTGCGTGTGTGTGTCCAAACAGTAATCATTTTTATATATCAACATATTCTTATTTGTGATGTGTCACCTCTCTCTGAAATACAAGGTCCAGAAAGGATGGAATACTTGTTTTATTCACCAGCCTGTCTAGAGCACCAACCATGGTATCATCGAAATGGTTGAGTGAATCATGATCCCTAACATGTATGTCAGAGCTCTATCTCGCAGTGTGATTATATCTGGAAATAGACTTCTAAGAAGATAATCCAGTGAGATTAAAAAAAAAAAAGGTGGATCCTTAGCACAGTAGGACTTCTTTCTTTACAAAGAGAAAAAGAGACCAAGGTTTATATATGATGTAAAGAAAGCAACTGTGTATATGCCAGAGAAACAGACTTCAGTAGAAACCAAAATTGCATGCCAAGACTAGACTTTTTGCCCTCCACATCCTGAGACAGAAACTCTTATATTTAGGCATGTGGTATCCTGCTATGGCAGCCTAAGCTGTCTAGTCCCATTGGGCCTACATACATAGAGTGAATTACAAAGATCTCATTCTTCAAATTCACCTTGTTCTCAGATGAGATTCATGGTTTAAAATACCAATGCCTGGAGAGTAATATAGCTAGAAAGTAGTTTTCTAGAATTTATCTGATCTGCTTTATAACTAGCCCTCCTTCCTATAAGAAGAGTTCTTTCTCCTTCACAAACCTCTAGTTTGAAAGGGGGCAGTAGATGTACTTTTAGCCCAAAGCTTTATTACATAGTTTATCTCAGATAAAACGTTTGTTAATAACTAATAGTAATTAAAATGAGTTAAATAAACCTCCTGAGAAAACTGGAAAGTTATAGATAAGAAAAAATAATTTCTAATTTCTAAAAATTTTCTAAAGAATCAAAGTTTGACAAATTCAGAAAATTACTACTGCAGTTTTCTCATTGAAATTATTTATCTTTGGAATGGCTTATACAATCAAAACCTGCTAAGGTGGGAAGGAGGAACAAGAGGAGCGGGAAAGAGGAAAGAAAACTGACTGCACAATCATGCCTACATTAGTAGTGGCCACACTTAGCTTCAAATTGTTCTCTGTATATAAAGCATTGTGTAAATGTACACTTCTACCCACATGCATTATGATTCCTGTTTCTCGTAACTCATCAGCAACATTGGATGATATGAAGCTTCTTTAGTGTAACCATTCTATAATACAGGTGCAACTGAAATCTCACTGCAGTGTTAACTACTGTATAATACAGATGTAACTGGAATCTCACTGCAGTGTTAACCATTCTATAGTACATGTGCAATTGAAATCTCACTGCAGTTCTAGCCAGTTCATCATAAGGATGTAACCAAAATCTCACTGCAGTTCTAGCTTAACCTTTTTCCATGATCAAGTGTCATGGTGTATGTTTTCCAAGTTTCTTTTATAGACAAGAGTTAGTGTTCTGCATCCTTTATGTTCTTTTCTTTCTATCAATGTTTTGCATTTTTATATTGATATGTAGGTATTTATATACTTACACTAGTTATTTCTTAAGATTATGCTAATAGACTTAAAATGTTTTATTTAAATACATAGTTACATTCTATTTATGATTGTAATTATGTATAGAGATATATGTGACTAAATTATATATCTATATATTATGTAGATATTCATTGAGAACTACAAAAGATGTAAGATTTTAACTTGTTTTCAAGATAGCAAGCTAATCAACCACGAGGATGTGGATGTTGATACAGAAGAGCCTTGACTGAAAGACAAAAGAATTTCAGTACTCTCATTAGCAATGGTCAAAAACCTCCCAGGTGCTTGTGGTAGTTCCCTGAACTATGTGAAGATTCTCTCATATTATGAATTGCATTGTATCCAAGAAACCAAGAGATTCAGAAAACAGAAGCCTTTCAAATGGGCAGAATGCATACCTACCCTTACTCTTTAGGGAGAACTTACCTCTCTCTGCACAGAAATGTAAACATCCTTAGAGAGGGAGGACAAAAGGAAGGGCTGTCAGTGCCTCAGTGTGTATAATTTTTATAAATATGAGAGCCTGAGAGGACTGCCACCTGCCTGAATCAACCCCTATTTCTATGCAACTTTGACAACAGCTGACACATTATGACTGTGCCAAGTGTAATTCACTCTCACTACTCCAAACAACAAAATTTGCCAGATAACCAATATGTCTTAGTCTTC